AAAGGTGAAATAACAATAAGTAGAAACAGTAGCATATTTTAAAATAAAACCTGAATATGATAGCATTAGTCCATTTAGTCATTTGATTTATTCATCAATCGAATTGAGTGTCTCCTGTGTCCCTGGCACTGGAGTAGGCTTAGAAGAAACTGTTTTTTAGATGATAGAATAACAATTTGCTCATTTGGGTTATTCTGTTTTACTTGATGCTTTCATCCATTTGAAACTCAGTTTTCTGTTCCAAGATCCCTAAAATTCTTTTAGCTTAAGTTGTCATTTTATTTTTTATCTTGAAATATGGATAGTTCCCCTTAGTTTGTCCTGTGACGCCACATTTATAAACCATGACATAAATACCGAAGGAAAACAAGACTTTGTTCTAAACACTGGCTCACTTGATCTATCATAGAAGGCACCATATATATTTCTTCATCTTGATTTAATCAGATTTTTCTTTAATGTATAGTCTTTTCTGGCTTCTACATCTTACAATTATGTTTCTAGTCAATATTCCTGTAGACACAGTCAGAATTTAATATTTGCAAATTTTGTATATTGTTAATTTGCCTATCTATTAAAACTTACTCATAACTGTAATTAAACACTCGTACTGATTATGTGGTGTTCTGCACATATATGCACAAAAGTGGAAAAAAAGTCTTGAATTTTATCACACAAACAACACATTCTCAGCTGAGGCTGAGAAAGATAGAACTTTGCTTTCTTGATTCTGTTCTCATGCCGTCAGACAATATCCTTTTCATGGTCCCTTTAATGACACTTTTTTTAAACTCTTTGTGATGATCTTGATGTTTTAAGTGCTGTCTATTGTTCCGAGGACACGATGACTATGATGTGCCCTATGGAGCAAATGTGTGTGTTACATAGTTCAATTTAGGCATTTGTTGTTGTGCTGTTGGTCATGAGTTCAATGTTAACGAATAAACTATTTTTGTTAAATAATATGTTCTGCATAAACACAGGTGGTAAGAACATGTATTCATCAGTTTATGGCAATTGGGTGATGAGAAGCTCCTAGAAATCTAACACCTGATTTTCCTGAAGAGCAATGGTTTGTTGCCATCGAGTCCGTTCCTACTCATCATGACCGGAAACGCCAGAACACACCGCTGGCTGCTCCTGTGCCCGCCTTACAATTGGTGTATTTGAACTCACTGTGTAGTCACTGTGTTAATCCACCTTGTCAAAGACCTAGCTTTTCCTTATTACCCTTCTATTTTGCCAAGCATAATGTCCTTTTACATGGACTGGTCTCTTCTAATAACATGTCCAAAGTTCATGAGATCAAGTCTCACATCCTGCTTCTAAGGAGCATTCAGACTATTTCTTCACAATTAGATTTGTTTCTTTTTTTTGACAGTCTGTGGTACCTTCCGCACCATAATTCAAATGCAATGATTCGTCTTTGGTCTTTTGTATTAAATGTCTACCTTTCACATGCGCATGAGGGGATTGAAAATACCATGGCTTGGGTCAGGTGCACTTTAGTCCTCCAAGAAGCACCCTTGCTTTTCAGTTCCTTATCATGATCCCAATTCTACCTTGCAAGCCTGGTTAGACCAGAGGATGCCCAGCGGTACAAGTGGGAACTGGAAACACAGGAAATCTAGGACAATGAACCCCTCAGGGCCAGCGGTGAGAGTGGAGATACCAGGAGGGAAGGGGGCGTGGAA